TGATCTTTTCTTTTATATGAAAGGTTTTGATGTTTTCGGTTTCTATCGTCTCTTTGTTGTTTTATGTCATGTCCACATTTGATTTTATATCATCTTCATTGTCCAGTATGTTAGCACTATAGTATTCCAATGCTGTGATGTTTTGTTAGATATACACGATAGTGTTGATCTCCGCTTTCTGTTTACCTGTATTTAGACATTAAAGAAATACGGAGAAGTAGAGTCAGATTCAAGATATGCATTTGATATACGACAACATCCTCAAAAATATAAAGGTTTTACACTAAGCATACTAACAAAACTAAACTAACATCCTAGTTACTTTTAATGTCATGGCGACCGAAGTCTCCGAGTATTCCCCTTATTTTTTATGGACTGAAATGAAATGAAACAATTCAAGAGAAACGATATAATTACTGCATCTTACAAAATATTGTCTTTTCTTTTATATGTGTACCGTAGACAAGAGTTCTAACTTAATGTTGTGTTGATGTGGAGCACAAAAATATGAACTTGTGTGTTCCATTGGAGTTGGATGTCGTTCAATGAACATATTTTATATTGTGATAGAAGGCAGTAGATCCATAGATCACATTAAGAATCTTAGATATCCGTTTAGAAGAAGTCACAAGAAATCCCCGAGATCTGGGACAAGAAAGAGTTGACATCGCATCCTTAAATTGTATGATCGCACCTCCCTGTGCTTTCCCCTCTCCTATACGACTGGTTGCGCAGGGAAGGATAAACAGTTATGTCGCATGATACCCATATTGATACGTTCTTTTCAAAGGAAGAACACACTTGTCCGCAGATCACCTTTGAAATCCAAAAATGTCGTTTTTAAAAAAGTCACATGATTGTAAGGTAACTATACAACGTGGATTGTACAACAGATATTTCCACGCTTGAATTGACAATTCTGAAGGACAACAACAAAAAAACACTTGCATAAATATATATTTCTTTATTTCCATGCAACACTGCAAATAACAAAATTATATCAGTATTTAAACATTGACAAAATTATATCGAGGAATTAATAAATTTATTTAGATAAGTATGGAAAAGTCAAAAGCAGAGTATTCGAAAGTGTTGTTTCATGTTAATAGTTTGCGAACGCATAATTAACCAATTAAAACTAATTAATAACGATTTATAAACATAGATATACAATACAACAAGAGCATACAGATGAACTGTTGATAATGAAAAAAAAGTCAATAGAACTTTTTCTTTTCATAATTAAATTGGAGAAATTAATTAGAAATTCCTTTATTCCATCTAGAACTACAATGGCTACATCAATGTAATACTCAGCCTGTATATGGCGTTACAGAGCTTGTATGAGCCTACACAAATATAAATGAAAGTAAATTAAAGGGTGTATATCACCAAATCTTCAAAAAAATACTCCACACACTTTATAGGCTAGGATATCAGGTATATAAAAATGAAATAAAATTCTAGATCATAAACGAATTAAGTCTATCAAGAACATGTTTTATTTGTAAAAACACATGCAAACACATTTCATATTCACACGGCTAAAATCACTGAAAAAATAGGGATTTTGCCAAGCTAGAGTATTAGACTCTGTTTGCTTACAAATGTACATGAAATAATACATTCTAACTATAAAAATTAAAACAAAGCTGATATGTTATGTATTTCCAATTAATATTTTGTGAGTACTTAATTTCGACTGTCCGAATAACTACGTTTCTGCAATCAATTTAAATAAATGGACTGTAATTTACGCATACTTATGAGTATACATTATCAGGATTATACCACTCAAAATGAAATTAATATTTCTGAATAAATAATTAGTATCCAAATCATTTGAAAGCACTGTATAACTATACCAGATAAAAGCATTTCACAGCAAAGCATTCCTTAATGACGAACTTTTGTACAGACATGCACTATAAACAACAGAAATGTGAACAACATGGAGATGTCACATATCCACAACGACGGAAGAATGTCTTGAACGGGCGTTTACTTTCTTTTGCCGATATAATATGTTAGTGATGAAAGACTGTCATCATTGATCCAAAGTGTCACAGGCGGGAGGGTGATGCTGCCTTTTACAACGGGTCTCTGTCCAAGTCGGCCTCAGTCTCCCACTGTCGACGCTAGCAGTTGTATTTAATTCAAAACGTTGGCATAAATGTCCTGTCATTACTGGTCTATAGTCGTTAGATTTGACCTCGTGAAGGCTTCATTTTATCTGCAATCTACAGAGGGGATATATTTTAAATTCGTACCAATTGATGTCACCTTTTCCGTGTTAAAGTCATCCGAGCTCATTGATGAGGTTTTTGTCAGTTGTCCTCAAGAAATCTGTAAAGCATAATTTGTTCGTTTAATAATTCAATAGATATCCAATTTAAAACGAGAACAGAAGATATCGCTCCTCCTTGCAAGCATTTTACAAAATCTGAAAATTTCACAAAATATATTAAATGAATTAGACAATAGATAAAAGCCTATACAGATGCAGGAGTTGTCTCCCATTAACGTTAAGCATATTTAGTAAGTTGATTGACAAAGGAATGGAAGAGACTGATGGAACTAATGGAATGAAAGCCTAAACGCTTTTCGATATAGACATGACGGTTCAGATTATTAAACCGTGGACTGAATAAAGGATCGACACTGGCGAAGAACTCAAAACTGTGCATTAATAATTTTATTTGACATAATTCTAATAAAAACCAGCATGAGAATAGCCAAGTCGACACGATAGTAATTCAAACGCAAACTCTTTTGACTGAGGTTAAACATGGACAAACGAATGTTTCAAAAAGAGGTTCTTGGAAAAGCAGAAGAAGGACAAGAAGACTAGTTTCAACGAACGTTTCAAAAAGAGGTTCTTGGAAAAGCAGAAGAAGGACAAGAAGACTAGTTTCACAGACATATTAAAGCGCATCGGACAACCTTAACTCCATATAGAACTGATAACTACAATATTTTCCAAATAAGATCATAAATGGTATACATATAGGGATTAACCGTTTCCCTCTCTAAAGTACTTGAAGAGTAAAGAGCTCTCTAAAGAGCTTGTTCAACCATATCATTTTATATGTAAATATATGATATTGCTGCATGAACGATAACTTCATCGACCTTGTCCATCGTATATTACAGAATTGGAAATGATTTACAACACACGCGACCAACATTGACAGCATTCCAGTAACTATTAGGGTATCGATAAGGATTGTGATTTCCCTATTGGGACGTTTGCATTTCTAGGTAGCATCGAACCTGATTCCCAAGTCTCTCATATTCACTGGCTTGTACCCTATATAACACTTTCTGTCAACGAAGTCGACAGCTGACAGATAAACTTATAACACAGGTTTTCGAGTAATGGAGGATGGTGAAAAATTCGAGAAAATTGTGTGGTCTCAACCACCATTCAGTAAAAAAAAACTTATATGTATGCCTGGTGAATTCATTTTCCATGTTTTGCCACAGTTGCATTGCTTTTAATTTTTTTTAAGATTTTGTCAGTATTATGATTTTTTCTTGTTTTGTTGTTCGTAGTGCTATGAATGATAGTGTAAAACTTGGATAACTGATTAATAACTAGCCGAGCTAGCATTGAAATACGGAATTTAAAAGTTTTACTTACCCTGTTTCCTTATGCAGTTGCGCTTAAAGATTGTGACAATGAAAATAACCGGAAAAAAGAATGGCAACTGGTGTGACAGTTATCACAATTACCATAGGAACGGATAAACTGTCACGCACTGCAGACGACGATGTAGTAGTTGTACTTGGTTTGTCGGTGGTGTCTGAATAAGAAAAATATTCCAAAAATAAATTTGTCGTTAGAGTGGAGACAAATGACATACATACATGTATGTAAATATCCATTTTCAAATATACTATTATGTAAAAGTGTCAGGAACAGGATAGATTCACAAACGAACGGAAAATAGTGAACATTATCATATGTTTGCAGACCTTTTGTAGACACACCATCACATCTCTTAAAAATAATGTTTTTGAATCGAACTCCACATTCCTCATTTAAGGACCCACCCCTTCTACACATGGAAACTATTATACATATGATTTGTTTTAATAACCTACTTCGGTGTTCAAGAGTAGTTTTAAAAGTAAAATATCATATTTTTTATACCCGGCCATGTCCATCGGTTCCACAGAAAAAAAACACCTTTCATTCATGAAAATAATGATCGTCTCGTTAGGCTGTTTTCCTAATTGATTTAGTAAAAACATTCATGTCACGTGACAAAATCATGTTTACATAACAGAGGGTTGATACATGTTCAGCATGCCTTATCTATTGGATGTGACATAGACATTAAGACAGGAGTAAGTAAGTTTGCGTTTATTATCATTTAGTCTGTCTACTTATCGTTGTTTCTGATGACAGATTTATGCTACCGTTTGCAGAATTGTTGTCCCCCTTATAAATTGAATTGTCATTATCTTATCAAACTTTTAAGCCATGACCTGGCCTTAATGAGGATATGTGTTAACGAAGACGGGGACTTTAAAGGAAAAAAATAAAGCAGCATGAATGAGGACAAAGAAAGAAGGAAACTATAGGTTACTTCAGCGTTACTGGAATGGGCCCCACCTATAGTCGTATGCCTCATGACACCTAGCATTATATCATACACTTGATTGCTAATTTAAACTAAATAAAGGTATGGAACATTGGAAAAACTATGTTATTCGAATCTGTATTAGTAGTTTTATCATAATTTACATAGAGAAACGTTTAGATAATTTTCTATTGCTCTCTGGTATCATAAAACAACAGAAAGTATATCTAATCCCGAAAATTAGACACAACTTCCTGCTGACACTGACTTTCACAATACTCGGAAAATCCGAAAATAAACCATCTTCAAGAATACGCATATCCTGAAGATAGGTTTTTAGTTTCTTAAATAAAAAAAAAACATGTGCATGCTTGATATCACAGAAAATAAGCCTAGTCTTATTGTCGACTTTTAGGGTATCTGAATTACAAAGACAAATTTACTTCATAAAAGAGGACACCGGTAGGGTAAAATGGATACATTCAGTTCCGAAAATTTCATTTTTTTCTAATCAATTAATTTATTTATAGCATTTCGTAATCTGCAGATATATATTTCAAATAGCCTTTGCTACAGAGCAGCGTCAAATATACTTTAAAGATCACTTGTACACAACAAATTGCATGTCAGATAGAAAATAAACAATGTATACTACCTGTGTTGCTCGGCAAGTGGTTAGAGGCACCTGGTGTCTTGTCCTGTTTTATTGCATAAATAATAGATTTAATGAACATTATGGAAAGATGTGTAACTACAGCATGCTCCGATATAATAAAAACAAACATAACCATAATTATATAAAATTGCTTCATCCATTCAACACAAAACGATTTAAAAGAAATCATAAACTATACAAAGTTGTCAATTTTGTTGACTTTAATATAGTTAATATGAAAAATAGATAGAAGTAAATGACAGGAAAATGCTGGCAATAATTATAATTTCTCATTGTCTTGTTGATACTCACGACATGTTTTCCACCACTACGCAGTTTCTGGGCTTTCATTCTGTTCCCGTGAAACGTGAAGGTCGTATTTTCTATAAACCCAGCCAGAGATTGTGTTGTATTTGTATAACTGGATGGATGTACCATATTTGCCTCGAACACTACAGATCCTGTAATATAATTCATTGGAAGATATTACATTAATGAATTGATTGATTTTCATACCAGTCAATATCGGAAAAAGAAACAATGTACTATTACCTCTTTTCACTGTCATGTTATTAAAATATACATCAGGAAATTGTCGTCCTAGTCTGTTAAAGACCATGGCTTCAAATTCTTCTTCCTTTTCTCCTACAACATCATCAAAATTTTCCTCGAAAGTCAGAGATATATTCGTGGTGACAGCTGTATCATCATTACGCAGGCTTTTCTGGGTCTCACTTAATACTTCAACTCTTAAGTCTCCATAAACGTCATACTCTTCTGGTAATGATTTCACATGGAATCTCAGAAAGTAGATTCCAATCTGATCAAATGCCAAATCATTGAAGATGGCTTCTCCTGTCGAATGATTAAGTGTCATGCTTTTCAATCCCTTCATATTTCCTGTTGTGTCCAAAACGTCCCGAAGATAAACCACTGCTGTCCATGTATGGCCCTACAAAGTATGAAAGAGAATTCAATTTCACTGTTTGCCAAAAGTCGAAAGATCTAGCTTAATTTTAACACCAAAAACCCGAAAAAATACTACGATAATTTACATGTACGCCAACTTGCAAATTTTATGCAGTTTATGACTTGAAATCATAATCAATCTAGGTCTTCCGTCCGAAGGTATTGTTTGTAGACAAAAGTTTGTATTGCGATTAAGCGAAGCTATCAATGGCTATTGACAGTTTCAGAAAAAAATGAATCATGCAAATATTAGAAAATAAAAACAAAATAAAATTATTTTTTAGTTACTATAATATTAGAAGTGTCTATAATTATACAATGTTTTCACTGCAAATGAGTCTCTGCTACTTACTCTCCAAGTGATGTTGTTGATCCGTTGTTGAGTAGCGTTATCCAGTAGCCCAACTCTGAATTCTGTGATGTTGTTTACAACAGATACATCGGTAGCAATACTGAGTCCTAGACTTATACCAAGTCTGTTTACGGTAAATCGTTCTGAGACAGCACTCATATTTATGGTATTTTCTGGATACGTCTTGTTAAAATGAATGATAAAGTCATCTCCAAATTGTGATAATTTGAGATCGGTGAAGTTGGCCCATCCACTGATGACTTCCACAGTTGTTGTTCCATGTAACTGGGCAGACGTGTGTACTCCTGATTCTAGGTGAGCTACGATGCGCCATGGATCACCAATGCTGCCTAGTTTTTCCATTGGTTCATCCTCAAAGGAAATGATATAACAGATATATAGCAATCTCAGAAAAACTCCAATCAAGTTCAAATACTGCTAATTCACTTAAAGGGACTAAATGGTTAGCTTTCGTTATTTTCCCAATGGGTTTTCCAAGAAAATACCAACATGGCAACAAAGTCATAATGCTAATAAAGCTACTAGGATAGATGTGCCCTCTGGGACAAAGCTGTCAACCAGTAGAAGCACTTGCCAAGTGGTACAAAAACAAAATACCAACATGGCAACATAATCGTAAAATTAGATTATTCACAAAATTATAATACTCTCTGAGAAAAAAGGTAAATATTATCAGCTTTAAACTAACAATAGTCGATTCTTGTTGTTATCTACAAACACATCGCTGTTTTGATAGGAGTCTCGTTTTAACCCATCCTTTTAATATGATTTCTTTCTATATATAGTTATGTAATTAGCCAAAACTTAATTTGCCAGCCATGTTTCAATTCCTTTGTAAAATTTCCTCTTGTGTCACTCAATACGCGTGATATAGCGACATAAATGAATTTGAATTAATCTGAATCTACAATAGCATGCGCAAAGACATTCTTTACACTCTCCGAACAATAATGATATGAATCAGTGTTGGCTCGCTCCTATTTCATTTCATTCATTTTTTATCAGATACAAAATCAATATCTAATTAATTAGCCCCTTTCATAACTTTTTACAGTTTCGGTTACGGTTATATCAGTATAGGAATATTAAAAAAGAAACATCAGATATGAAGATTTTTAAGAACTGTTTAGTTTTCAACATATCGAATAGCCGGTTATTTTCGCGGGAGTGTTTTTTTTTTTGCTGTTTCGCTGTACATTAATATGATCGCAAAAATAATGAGATACGCTTGTAAAGATTTCCTTTTACATCAAGATCGCGAATAGTTTATTCATGAAAATATTATTCGATCGTTTGAAAAGAAAATCGCGAAAATTTTGACCCGAGACAATAACCAGCATTACGTTATATCTAAATTAAACCAGCAGAGTCTCGATAAAATTGCCATCCTACAAACATTAAGTAAGAGAATAGAGACTAATGAAGATAACCCTCAATTAACTTATTTTCATTTATAATATATAAACTTTTTACTTCAGACGGTTCTCGTGCAAGTAATACACCCATTGCATTTACAATTATTTTCATATAATCCGTTTGCACTTTGAACTTAACATGTCTATTGCTTTTAAAAATTGTGTCAATTGTAACTCGGCTTTGAATGGGTGTGTGTGTATTAATTCAACCAGTATACTAATTACCTGTACATCAAACACGCGCAGACATGGTTGTATGGGGAAGGGTGCAGTTTCATACGAGGAAGCTATATGTATAGATATATTCATACGCTTTGGAATGGTGATCACCCCAGCAGAGTCAAGTCTTGGCGCGTCAAGTCCGTGGTCAACAACAGGCTCACTTACAGCAATACGTCTAACAGTCAGATTTAGCACTTTGCCTATATCTCCTCCACCCTGAACTTCATTAATAAACTTCGCTGACAGGTTCAGTAAAGAATCAGTGTTCAGTGATCCAATGGACATGGACGTATTGACCGTGGCATTCACAGCTAAAATAGGGATAGATGTGGTTAGATGTCGGTTTAGTCAATTATTTACATGTTTTAAGAGTGGACTACATCAGTATCAAATATCTTTAAATACTTTGCACACTCGACATATCTTAAATTGACATTATTATTTCTATTCTTTGAATTTCTATAAACCAGTTTATCTAGTGTTATATATATAACTTAAAAAAAAACAGCTTTTTTCTGCTACCTTCGAAAGAAACATTCTATCATATCGCTAGGCTTTTTGGTATATCAGAAAATCATTGAAGGTTTTGTCATTTTTGCCTTATGTGACCTTTAATGTGTTCTTTAAATAATTAATGTGGTCCATATGAGGATTCTACCAGCCAAACGTCTTAACTATATGACTTTTGGTTCTTCTTGACAAATATTGGAGACGGATGCCGCTCCATTCATCTAAGCTACCAATCGGGCAGATAGACTAAAACAACAAAACTTAAACGCTTCTTACTTTCGGCAGGAGCATCGGAGATTTCACAAACAACATTCATGGCATCATCTGTCCCTCGCTTCCTCCTTCCAGACTCCCTAACGACGTTCACCAAGCGAACTTTCTCCGGCGCCACATCGAAGAATAATGCTAAATTGCGTACTAGTGCTTTCCCGTAGAACTCCTCAGGCGTCAATGCGGGTATTTGAAAAGACACAATCAATGACGGATTTGTTATTATTTTTACGGGACTACTTCCGCGTACTAATACATACAAGACATTGGAGTTCCGGTCAAAGAAATTCGTTCCAGTTGCGTCATCTGATTTCTCATTCGGAAGGAATTCACCAGGTACTGATGGTCGATCCATGATATATTTTCCATTAACTACCCTAGTATTGCTGGCTAAAACCAGATCCTCTCCAACATACACATCTCGGCGGTTGGACTGTGAGTACTGTATCCCTAAAACAACTACCTGGTCATCGACGGAGTTCAACAAAAAAAGGCGAAGAGTCTGCGGACTTGTGGTGGAGAAATACAGTGAGTAGGATTTTCCTGAAAAAGTAATTCTCATCAAATTTACTTACGAGCCAATTTATTAACATACGGCCATATTTTTGTTTCATCATAGATAAAACTGTATCAGGGAAAAATAATCCCATTTGACTACATGAAAGGTGATTGCGGTACCATTGCGCCCAAAATTATCCATTAAGACTACATATAGCATTTAGTTTCTTGATATTTTTTTATCATTGGTCTTGAACACACCTGAGGCTACGATAGCCATAAACGTTGACAGACGCTTCCTACAGTTGTCCGGACTACAATCACTGTGGTCCTGGGGGCCATTGATGAGGTCTAGATACCCGTCTCCCAGAATCGCGACAGGTGACAGACGCCGGGTTTCCGTGTCCGCGTCCAGACTCTCTATTATAAGCATCTCATAGTCAAGGTCATGGCATTCATAGGCTTGCCAGGCAGGTCGGTAATGACACTGATTATTTCGTATGATACCTTTTGAAATAAAGACATTATATAGATAAAATATACATCATAAAACATTTCAACTGTAAACATGAAAAACGTATTTCAATTGATTTTTAATTATTCTGGCATCATACCTTTGTGTGGTGCTATACTACTAACGTTGATACGTTCTCCGTTTAGAGTTGTCAGCATTTCCTTAGGTATCCTGTAGTCACCTAGACCCCTTCTTGGATCGCCATCCCACTCCCATTCCGACTGAGATAGGACAGCACCCTTTTTGCCCAGAAAGGAGCCATCTTCGTCTTTTATAAGGGCCTTTTTCTCTCCATCACAGTCCATGTCAACACAGTCTCTTGGGTTTATTTTTCTTTTATGAAAGATAATTTTAAAATCAATCACAAAGTGTGCAAATACAAACACAACAGAATGCTACGAACAACATGAACAAAAGTAAAACTTATACTAATACTATCGTAAATGTACAAGAAGGATATTTTGCTTCATCGACGTTCAACTTTTGCACATCTTCTTTAACCCAAATATAAAAAAAAGTTTCCTTTTTGAATGCAATCAACCATGAAACCACAAAGCTATGTAATAGACACCGAAAACATACCACACAATGAAACGGAAAATTTCCTAAAGAGATCATGCTTAATGATGACGATAGTTATGGTGATTATGTTCATGCGAATTAGCATTATTTATGATTATGATAAATTCGAGGATAATACATACATTTTGCAAATAGATAATGCATTGAGAGAAAAACATAAAACTAGCGAGTACACGTCTTGATCCAAACATCACCATGTATAATATACATCTTGTGGTTTGTTTGGTGTTTTACTGGCAACAGAAGAACAATTCATTTAACAAATTTAAACATTTATTGTGATAAAGGAAAGCAAAAGACGGTATTTTTAATCAAACATCAATATTCCTAAATAAAAACAGTCACTTCTATAAGGATTAGCTCGTGAAGATAAACCTACTCAATGTTAGGTCGATGGATGAAGAAATATGAGTCGTTTTCCGACTTATATATTGTTATACTACTGGTTACCACAGGGTGTTGTCCATCATCATTCCATTTGTTTGTAGTCAACATGACGTCTTTGACACCACATGCCGACTTGAAATAAGCAAATGTCACACCTGGCAATGAAGAATGTATGTTGTATTCAAGCACACAATATACAGAAAGATGTATACTTTTTATATGGAGAGTGTATCTAAACAACATCGGAGATAAAATGGACAATGTAAACCCAATTACATTATCAGTGTTTAGCCAGTCCTTATTACCAATGTAAAGAATTTCACCGTGTAGCAAGGAGTAGGACATTTCTGTTTTACAGACAGCGTTGAGTTGGTTTGAAAATAGCAAAACCATACTCACCCTGAATATAAGTCACCCCCTCGATGGCAGGGTAGGTCTCCATCCTGGTCAGGTCGTAAAAGGAATATTCATTACTTCCTCCCAAGAATGAGGCAAATGTCATCCCCACGTGACCACCATCGACTTTAGTGTTCGTACCAGAAGATTTAGCCTGATCAGTTGTACAGTTGTAGGACGATGTTGTACCTATGATGAGACTGTCCTTAACGGTACAGGATTTCGATGTGTATAAATGATCCACGGGACTAGGGCCTATCACTTCAGTGTATATTCCTATATTATTTTCAGCCAGAACATTACCAGCAATATCTACTGACTGCTTATTGTTGTAATATATTCCCATGTTACTACATTTCCAGATGAAATAGTTCGATATTTCATAACACCTCTCATCACCTTTGTTTCCAGGAAAAACAGCCAACCCTATTGACGAACTATGGGCTTCATTTCCAGATGGACCGGATGATAGACCGCATTCTACACCAGGAACATTGAACGCTACACCGTCAGTACCACTGACAGTGTTATTTACGAGTGTTAGCTCACTGGATAGCATGCCACTGATCGCCCCAGGGTAGAAATCTTCAACACGGACTAGTACGATAAGGTTTCGTTGTAGTGTCGTTTTCAAAGATTGAGTTTCAATTGCTAAAATAATACAAAGCAATTGATACAAACATAGTGATATTTCGATTCATAGAACTGCATGTGGCGTCATCGAAATGAAAAAGTAAAAGCAGAAAAGCTGATTAGGATTAAACGAAAAACAAAAACGAAAAAAAGTTACTTATATTAAGCGTGGGATTTATCTTCGCGAGGCGAGGAGACTTAATCATGAATTCAAAGCCCTCACGATTACGTTTAACTCTGGATGACATTCATTTCGACTCGGTTACTGATATCGGAGTCTCGAGATTCCATGTCTGTAATAGCTCATCATTCACGAATCTAAGGTAATTTTTAGATCAGCGTGCGCAAAATCATGTGTTCGTAAATATGTCTGAAGCGGTATGTCCGCCAGGTTTGGAATGAGTGTTTTTACTAAATGTTAATTTTACATGAATACGTGGTGGAATGATTATATAAATGAACTGACATTAAATAATTTGACTGAATAAAACCTTTTTTATGTCAGAGTATGTGACAACGGTGAAAGTGGCAAATGCACTTTGTGATAATCTTGTATCAAGGACCTACCAACAGATACTGAGTGGTGGATAACATTGTCGCTCAGTACAAGACCGGTAGTTCCGGATACAGCTATCGCTGACGAAAAGCCGTGATGGAAGGCACACTTAGTTACAGACGATGGCTTTTCCTCCGTCGCTGTCTGGGCATTAGAGTACGTAAGAGAATATTCATTCTTCGTATGGGATTTCCATTTTCCCTGCCCAGTGTGGATGAATTCAACATTACTAAAGCGGGCATAACCTGTATTGTAACAAAAATGTGTATATACAGATTACACGCAGATTCCATCCAATCTGCAAACATGCACTGTACATATCCCCAAAAAAATGAAGTACATGTGAAAAACGTTTTTTAGTACATGAATCGATAGTTTTTACTTACTAGCGATAATTTGTGTAAATACTTTTTTGCATTATCCATAAATATTAATTTATATCTTCGTGTTAAATTCCCATCGATACTTTGAAATATCACAAAAAGAATCTATAGATTGTATTTTTTTTATCTTTTTGTCATATCATTTAGCCTATAATATAAATCGTGCAATAAGAATAATCAGTAAATATTCAATCCAATTTATGTTGTGCATACAAAATGATTTATTTCTATCAAACTATATTACACCTAACCTTTGTAAAGCTGATCGTTGAACAAGGTCGCCCCAACTAATATTCGTCCTCCGTATCCGTTTTTATGCATGGTTTCATCATCTTCACCATATATACGAATATTCCTAGTAAGGAGCCCGACCTCTGCTGCCATGTTTATTCTTCTGCCGTTTATTATTTCGTTGTGAGCTGCAACATTAAAAAGTAACACCTAATATTTCAGTTCTTATCAATCGCATTGCATTACACAAATTAGATAGATTGTTTAGATTAAGACATGTTTTTTTTTTAAAATGACACATCGTCAAGTGAAATAGAAATATCTAACCATCAAACTCTCCGTCAAATCTATCTCGAAATTCCTGTAGAAAAGATACGAATTGCCGACTGTACAGAAACGTTTAAAAATGCAATATTCAATAGAATATAGGTCAGATGACTTATTGTTTCGTTTTCACAAATAGATACATCTTGTTAATATTGTGCATTAGACATCCAAAGTGAAAAGCACCTTTCAATACAAAAATAAATAGACGCAGTTAAGTCAAATAATGAACTACTCAGTATCATACATTTGTTTCATCTTCCTAAGACTCGATAGAGATACCAGGGGCATAACTTCTTGAAACCTAAAAGGCGACTTAAAAAAATGGTCGAAGCAAACCAGAAAGGAAGGTAAATCAACCCAACAATTTTCGTAATTCGCATTCTTGTCAAAAGAGCGTCAATTAAATGTATATGACTTAAGCGTGGCATGATGGTTATGCGTGTACGTACCAATATGTCTGAACCGAAGAGAACCGTTCAATGTCAGAACCAATCCGTCGTCGGACACATGAGTAATTTTGAATATCTCCGTCTCCCACATGTCGTAGCTTGTTGGGCCGATGACTATTTCTCCCCCGACTCCCCAGTTCACGTTATCAGCTAGAGTAATAGAGGAATCCCCAGGGTTTCCTGTCTCAGCCAATCTCGTCCATGGAACGCCAATATCTTTACCATTAATTTCTAGTCCTCCATATACAGCTTAATGAAGAAAGATGTGCAGATTAATTCAAAATACGATATCACTGATTTATCGTTTAATTTCAAGGGCAAAAAGCCAGAATTTCTATTAATTTTTACTGCAAATATTTGATGATTGCTATTGATGATTGAAAATGTTAAAATATGTTAATCAGTTCAAAACACTGAATGAACATCTTCTTACGTAAACATTTCCCAGTATCTTTGAATGACCCTCTCTCTATCATAATTATATTGTTTGAAATAAAACGCCGGCTACTGTACAATATCGAGTTGTCGTTAAAAGATAATAATAGAAGAAAAAAAAATGAATACAAAAAATAAAAAAGCAAAAACAACGCTACCTATTGTTTTTGCGTTGACAGGTATTTGTGTAAAAGGTAGGTAGTCTTCAGTGTCCAGGTCTCCAAGCCGGCGACCACGAAGTACAATGTCCATTTGACCAAGGAATGGGTCATTTGGTGAACCAATCAAAAGTCTTCCTCCAATGATTATGATATCAGTTACACTCAGAGTAAAGTTTCGGTAGGAATTATTTACAGGACTAATGTCGAACTCAAGCACGCCATAAATAATGAGTTTGGTTAGCCTCGGTATCACAGTGTCCGCTACCATCCAATCGTCTGTGACGAAGACAAACTAAGGTTGGAAATATGTATGTGAAACAGCAAGAAAAAAACAATACGCAAATAAACAGGAATTTAAAAAAAGATTTGAACGTTAAATGATGATATAGTATACAGCGTGACGGGGTCTACTTGAATGGGGTAAATCTATCAAACAATACAATATTAACAAAAGAAAGATTTAGACTCCTGATAAAGTACATGAAGAATAAAAACGGTGTTCCGATAGGGTAAGCGCCTTCTGCTGAATTGATGAAAGTTCTTAACACAGAACTTGAAATAATCAGGGATTGTATGAAATAATCACAATATAAAGCTCCTATGTTTTGAAACCAAGGATGTGACTGGAAAAACCCCAAAGTACATGTGTTTCAAGCACAAGTTTTTAAATGATCGATCATTTTTGGCCCATATCACCTTTACATCATGTCGAAAAGATTGTGTATTTGGAGTCCGCGTAAAATCTAGCACAACACGAGGAAAATTGCCGCGGGAAAAACCATAGGTACAAAATGAGCAGAAATACAGAGTAAAGCAAGAAAAAAGACGAGAGTTACAGTGCTGCATTGGGCTGAAAAGATTAAATTTGGAATCCCGATTGTATAGTAGACCTAAAAATTAGTCGCTTCCCGCAACATAAAACAAGATAGAACATGTGTAGTATTCCCTTGTTCACAAATAGCTTCAACAGTATTGCATTAAAATCATACAACCTTCCGTAATGATGACGTCATCACCATCAACAGGAAGCGAGGAGTTAGGCCATGATGTAGGCGAGGACCAGTAGATATAGGCAGGTGTTCCGGGTGAGGAAGTCTCGTAGGTGGAAGGCGCAAGTGTAGGAGTGATGCATCCCTTGAAGAAGCATTTTCTAACACTGAAGGAGACAGAGATATCTTGGGTGCCATAATCATATCCGTCTGTGTGACCCCGTCGTCTATAGGAAACTGTAAATATAATTGTACACATGAACTTATATATGTACATAACATAGAAGATATCCAGGAAGAAAGCTGATATCAAAGTTCGTATCATCAAATGGTTACCCATGGCAATAGATCATGCTTTTACTTCTTTCAGTGGTGTATTACAATAATGTGACGAAATAGATAAGCTCTTCTTTCCTTGTCTACTGAGGAGTTCATCGAGGGGTTTATGGGTTTAGGTCATTTTTATTTCAATACCCTTTCAGGGTGACATTTAAGCTTGACCAGCGGTCCATGACATGGTAGTGTGCTGTTTATTTGTAACTATTAGTGTTGGCCTTTACTACACATCATGTGTAATACTGTCGCTAAGGCGGATACAGAAATAACTGATAAAAACTATCGCAGGGTCATTTAAGTTCATGCAAACTAATTGACCTGGGTTATTTCAAATTTGAAAAATTTACTCATGACGACAGGAGGACAGCTCAGGACAGCGGTCATAATGGTTTTTAACCATTGTTTATTTATTGATTATCTTTGTTGTTTAATTGATTAGCATAAGTATGTAAGCCACACACATGAAACAAAAATGATAACATACTTGATATTTTGATTATAGAATTTCGACATACAGACATTTCATTGATCTTTTGCAACTTACAGAGTGATATCTTATTTGTACCAGAGGTCTACAGGATGTTCGTGTATCGATTTATCATGCAATTTACATGTGTATTGCAAAACGAAGAGAGTATGTACAGATAGCTCTTAAAAGCACCTTTCATAACAAATTTAAATTCAGATACAGTGGAACTAAACAATGAATAAAACTGCATCAAACAGCCGTTCTTCTAGGACTCGTCAATGATACTAAGGCCCTAAATTCTGCAAACCTGAGAGATAAGTAGGGAACATCCAAGTTGGCCAAGGGCCAGTATTCATGAAATGGGTCTCATGTGCAAGCATAAATTTGGCATTCAAGCTGGTTTTTTTTAATTCACCTAAATCATATTCAATGATACAAATGTCAAATATAAACATTGAAACATTCATATAGCATTTGAGCTGAATTCCTTTCAATATATTTTCAAATCTTTGACAAAATCAGCTTTATTTATCAATGTTTAACTGAAACAAGATATAATGTTTGAGCACAAAATCGATGCTAGATAATTAGAACGATTTCGTGAATACAGCGCAAGATGAGAAGATTAATAAAACCTATAAATTATAGATTTCATTATACAATTAATAACTTATTTCAAAAGAAGCTCAGGGTGTATACTATTATCTGAATGAATGAAACATTGAATGCAGGTTGCGGCCTAAATGTCCACCAGTCGCAAACTACCACGCAATCAACTAGCAATCTTAACGACAGTTCAAAACACACAAAGTAAATAACACTAATCATTACACATTAAGAATGAAATACAGTACTGTCAAAATTAAGATCCAAAATAACTGTATCATACAGAATTTTCGTCCTTCATGTTGAAACAGGACCAGGGGAACTCAAAATTGGTTGCAATGCAATAAATTTTACGATTATCAATATTGGTTTAATTCTAGAAGGAGAAAACAGCTGTATAATGCTGTGTACTTCATTGTTTGACTCAACTATACCTAACTCTAATTTATCAAAAGATGTTATTCACTTGTGTGTCTTTTGTACAACTATTGAATCTTATGAATTATATGTGTTATGATTTAATTTGTTTTCCTTACCTATTCATGCAATATCCCGAATTCAGATAAAAGGAGAAAAGTCAATAAATATTGAAATCAGAACAATCAATTAATCACAAACCTAAGTACGTGATAAAACCAGATGTCTCATTATATTGCCAGTCGCCATGGTAATGTGTTTCTGGGTCAAGGGTTTCATTTGTTGCAGGAATCAGACTGTATCCATCTATATGAACTTCGTCAGGTTCTCCAGTCAAAGCTTGGCTTATGATTACATAGTCGTCGAACTGTAATGAAGGAAATATGATTTCAAAAACAGATTGATACAATCGTTTCCCTGATTTTCGACTGACTAAGCGATGATATTATTATGTTTTTGAAATACTCTTCAAATACGTTTCAGTTTATATGCCACGAAAAAGGAGTAGGACCGCCGATTGACTGAATGATTGATGTAGTTCTAATATAACCGAAAATTATACTACTATAGTTGATAATGAAAGATGAATAGGTAACACAGAATAACACAGATAGAGGAATGCAATAGCTTGTCGTTGTAAACAGCCTCAAGTCTGTGGAAAGTACGCTGCAACTACCTTGATGAAATTGTAGAAAGAAAAAAAAACTCACCAAAGGACATTATCATGACCCTTTGGCTCTTGGTTACTGAGAATAGTTTACTTTGATATCTTGAGACGCAACATATGACCCCGATGACCTTTAACGTTGATAAAAGTGATTATTTGAACAGACATGGGAGTCGTCTATTATTCGAAAGTATTCTAAAGGCCCAATATGACGACAATATGTCTTTTTAATAAAAAAATTGCTAAAATGGATAAGTGATGTATGGCGTCTAAGCTATCTTACCCATTGGGTGGGTGAGCAAATAATCTGATATTCGACCATGCATGACCCACCAAACTTTGACCTTAAAAAATATTTTTTTCAATATTGAGAAGACGCGTTTAATACCAGATATTAGCTAATACTAAATCTTATATTAAAGCCATACTCGATTTTGTACTTCAGATACCTGCATTCTGTAGAAATAGCCATAGTAGCTGAAATTAGTCAGCATGTAGCCATCATCAAATTCCCAGACATAAGAAGAACCGGCAATTAAGTTCGTCATCCAGCCGCTTGACGGATATATCGCTCTGTAACGATAATGGTGTGGAGTAGATCCATACTTGTTTGTTAAAACGAGATTCCAACTTGAAGAGGCGTATGATTGTGAATATGGAGCGAATCGGATCAGTCTGACATCTGCCGGGCAATTACATAAAGGAATGTTTGAGGAGTTTGAGAAAATAGTACAGTTTGGTGGTAAAGTTCCGGTACAGGGTACCACTTTACAGGACGGAGATCCACAAAGGGAGCCATCCATGTCTTCGTACACCGATTCCCAAATCCATTCGTTGTAAATTCGATGATCAACATTGATAAATGTTAGATTATCTGTTCGGTACGTGTATCCACCACAGTTATAACTGCATCGCTTGGGAATCCTTGTAATCCGTAACGCCGAACAGTTTGATTGATTAAAGTTGACAAAACTAACATTATGAATACTGAATCCGAACTTGTAGGGCAGTACAGCTCCTCCGTTGGTACATCCTTGTGGTGGGATACCTGACACGTAGACAACGATCATGGAATCTTTCAGAAAAGGACCGTCATCATTATACAGATTTCCCTCGTAGATAATTTTACCCTCATAACCAGCCTCAACGTTATTAACAGCGGTAAGACCAACTACATGTACTGCTCCCATTTCATTTACTTCGATTCCCTTACGACAATTCCATACATGCATATCTTCAATCACCGCAGCTTTCACGGTTGATGTGTATGAATATGAGTTTGAGTAAGAATACATTACGTGCGGAGTATATTTCGGGTAGATCCACAAGCCATACCATCCTAAAGAGTGTGCGGTATTGTTGTTGAATTCTGTAATAGGGGTATACTGAGGTCTGTAGCTGCCAGTTACATCAGAACGTACACTATCCTCCAATCGGAACCAATATCCAAAATGTGTGCCACCGGCCGCCACATTATGGCGCAGTGTATTGTTTGGATTTGTGATCCAGAACGTTGCTGGTGAGATATCGCTATTCAGTAGTTGAGAACTGCCTTTCACATCTATACCAAGGTTGTACTGGAATACATTTCCTGTCTCAGTTCCATCTTCCAGAAATATCGCCACACCGTTGACGTTGTAGATCACATTGCGTTCAATAAGAAGGTTGTGTGTATCACGAATGTTGATGGCTCGATTAAACGTGTCGTGTATTCCACATCCACGTACATACGATTTAGACATGTCACCAGTCTTATAGAAGTTGATTGGATGACGGCCAAGACGGAAGGCTTGTCCGACATGGTAGAACTCCACATACTCAATACGGCTTCTTGTTACCTGTTTCTTTGGGTCTGTTGTGTGAATTATTACTTGCGCACCGAACTGGTCGCTTCCCATTTCCCCTCCGGACCGACCACGGTTACATGTCTGGACAGCAAGGTTACCTATAATGCAAAATTTCGAAACATATTAGCTGAAGGTGATTATGTCAAAAAAAGATGATTAGAGCAGTTGATTATTAACGAATTATTTTAAAGAGGTACAACCAACAAGAGGGAGGTTAAATAATGAAACAACAGTTCTGGAAAAATCATTGAATAATTGTCTCCTTTTATTGCGATAATTGATAAGAACGAACCTGGATCTAAACCATCTGGACATGGTTTGATATTTTCTTTCCACTGTGGGTCGCTTTGCCCTCTTACAACAACGTTTCGAGTAAGCAAGCCAACTTCCGCACTGAAATCTAATCGCCTGCCTGCCACTAGTTCAGATCGTCCAAGATGTGAGTTGGCTAACTCGCTGCCGAGTGTGATTGTCTTGTTGTCTGAAGAGACTGATTCTATCGTAACAACCTCAGTCTCTGCCTGCGAATTTACTCCTCCTGTCGTTGATATGACTATCAGGTCACCTTTCCGCCATGTCACCTCATGTTGTAAATTCAAGTGTTTGTCGCCAGCTTCGGCGGTGTGTGCTAGCTTCGTCCACGTGATGTCTTTATGTAATCCTGTATAATGATAAAAAGGACATCGATGTAAAGTGATAATAAAATATTCTGATAGTAGTTAGATTAACAAATGTCATACAAAAGGAAGGTATACCTTCAAATTTGAGGTTAAGAAAATATGATTATTAGGCGATCTCCCGTAACAATTAAATGCATCTCTATGTTTATTAAGTACATTTAACAGCCAAGGTCAAATGAAGACGGTGGGAACGATTGATGAGACTTTATAAGACCAACAATAATGTTCTAAACTGTATGATGCTGGTAATCCGTAAATACTGCCAAATAAAGAAAACAAAGATGAAAGCACTTAATTTGAAAAAAGAGCTAAATATGATTGTCCTTTTCCTCAATAATTGATAGCATTACCATGTAAGTCCAATGTCCCTTCTCGAACGGCCAGTGATTTTGTCCCATATATGGGCAGCTCCTTTGAGCGTTGGTGTCCATGTAAACTTATTGTTGCTCTGTGTTCGAATGGGTTATCTTCAGTTCCAACCTTAAACAAGAACACATTCTTTAATTCTACGAAATTCTGTTATTCTGTATTCTCTTCTGTATATAACAAAATACTATTTGTAAAATGCATAAAGTTTAACCGTACCATATCTTCAGAAATGGATAGTTTCTTTTTTGCAAGAAGCTGTTTCATAACGCTTATAACTCAAAAAACATATAAAACAAAGTTTTGTGAAATGTAGAAGTGTTTGAGTATATATACATGCGAATTATATAAAAAAATTAAATTATGCAATAAATAGCAAATGATAATTTGGAAAATTTGTACCAATTTGTTATGAAGGGACAAGTATACTCGTGTCGTCAGTAGTTACTCAAATTGGGATACCCCCGAAAAACAAAATGACATTACTGTATCTGGTATGGGACTTCTTGCACGTTTCCATGTACAGATTCTCCTATGCATTGAATTCATGAGAACATTAATTCACCTTTAATATGTTATTCCTTTCTTGTGTTAATGTTGCGTTGCAATCAACTTGGCGCGATTAGGTAGGGTGGGGTGGGCTGTGGGGAGGGGGGAGTGATGTTTCACGTTTGTTCAGTTTAGAGACATATCGGGGCTATATTGGGGTCATTACAGCGCCTGAACGTTGTTTGTGGTGAGAAAACCACGACAGACTACTGCAGGCGTACTGTAGGGTGGGGGACTACGTGCGGTTCTTTTTTTGAGTATATATTGATAATTAGCGTTAGACAGAGAGGGAAATGTTATGAGAATGGCTTAGATTGGGCCATTGATCGAATTAGTTCTCGTGTACAGATAAATATGCTGACTTCAGTTTACCCCAAGTTTAAATATGTGGTAAATGGGTAAATATATATTATTATATGGTTTTTTTACACAACATCTTGATATTTTCTTGATGTTTTTTACCTGTAAAAGACCACCATCTGTAATCAGTATGTTTTCAGCGTGCAGTTCAACATCAACTTCGTCAAACACAAGCTCTCCTCCTACAATGTAAGTATTAGACATATCTTTTCAGTTGTAGCAAAAATAAGAAAAATGGTAATTGAGGACATTTGAACAATGTTTTGTGGAGATCTATTAAATGGTTTTCGGATTGTTGTCCGAACAAAGTTTCCAGTTAGTTAATTTAATATTAATTACTTTTTGTTTTCATGGCAATAAAGACCTATCCAAAAGTCAGACAAAAAGCAAAAGGCAAATTTTGTAGGGATCAGGTAACCTATTATCAAAATGTAGCCCAGGATGACGGATGCATATGTACGTACACACACGCGGAACCTAATTCAATTGTCCCCGCAAAGGCATTTCTAGGAGAATAATATCGCTATCAAGGCATAATTTGTAATTATATTCAAACAAGGAAACAACATGGATACATGCAATTGTAAACTGTATCTTGCCTTGTATTATCAGCATCTTCAGGATAGGTGAATCCGTATCGAATAGAATAGTCTGACCCTTTTGAATGACGACAATGTCCCCTGCTGTGGGCAAACCGGCTGCTGCCCCACCCCAGGTATACACAGATGACCAAACATCCACAAAGTGGAATCTCGCATTTTCCTATAAAATATCAAAGTTAATAACTATTAAAAACGATATTTAGATATTTTGAAATATTGTATTACACTTTTATTAGAGGTTGGTTGGTTGCATCCCCACGGTACTTGTGTGAATGCGTGTCTTTGTGAGGAACGTTGTGTGACTGTGTGGATATGTTTGTGTCTTCGCAGATATTTTAGAAGTTCAGAAATATATGAATTGACCAGAACCATTACCTATTAAAATGTAATCATATTTAATAATTTTACCTTATTTGCCTTTCCATTACATCCTGTTTCTAATCGGACACCTGCTCTTTCAGACTTCGAATGGGCCTCAGTCACACATTCTACGCTACTATTTGTCCATTTGGTGATATTGCACAAAGTTCCACCAATGGTTACTTTCGATACACATCCCACCGCTGTAACTTGCGATAACCTGAAATAGATATATAATATATGTATATTTTAAGCACACTCCTGTTACCTTTAACTGTAAAATGCAATGTATACATTCATATTTCTTAATCGTTCGTGTAGAACATATCAGTTATAATTTCATTTCAATCACATAACAGATTTATGCAATATACAGAGATTTAAGGATATAATTGATTATAACCAATGGGTCCAGTGCATATAGGCTTACATGGTTACATGAAGTCATAAAGACTGGATATACCATATCGATTTTATTTAAAGTAACGTCACAGACCTTTACATCAAAATTGTATGAAAAGCACAAATCGGCCGCTAAAACGTGACCGCAGATAATGATCAGAGGTACAAGTGTATGACGAACTTCACCCATAGTGTTGGTGTTTTTGCAGAAAAGTGAAAATGGGTCGATCTGTTCCATACTTTATTCCGATTACCCTATATGGAATTGGACGGGTAAAAACACAAGACAGGTTCTGTGCTTGGATTTAAATAGCTCCAATTGCTTCTATGATTTCAATGGGTGTTTACAAATACAAATTAATGTAGTTCATTATAATTACCCGAAATTACATCGTCAATGACTGGTGTGAGAGCAGGGTCGTAGGTATAAGCATTTTCTAGTGTTTCAGTAACACTGTTGACTATGATCTTCACGTCGCATTGCTGAAGCGCCGAATCTTTGAAATTAAGAAAAGACAGTTACCAGTTGTGTGAGTTGGTTAAATCAGTTTGCATATACCGATAAATGATCAGCAAATGTCAGTCAATTGAACAAAAATCAAATAAATAAAAAATGTTGCATATAAATATATTGAAACAATACCTCAAG